AATCTGCACTCTCTCGAAAGGCGTAGAATTAGGGATGATATGACTGAGATGTATAAATGGAAAACAGGAATTAATAAAGGGGATGTAAATAGCGTGCTAAATATCTAACATAGACATGACTCGCAGCAATGGTTTTAAATTGGAAAAATTCAAATTCAGGAAGGATATAGGAAAGGACTGGTTTGGTAACAGTTGTGGATGAGTGGAACAAACTCCCGAGTACCGTCATAGAAGCTAAGATGTTGTGTAGTTTTAAAAATAGGTTAGATAAATACATGAGTGGGTGTGGGTGGGTGCGAGTTGGACCTGACTAGCTTGTGCTACTAGGTAAGATGCCGTGCTCCTCCCTAAAGTGACGTGACTGACACTAGGTCAACGCATTGGCTTAAGCCAGTGGGAGAATTAGACCTGCCTAGCATAGGCCAATACGCCTGTTGCAGTGTTCCTTCTTTATGTTCTTATGGATCAGGGCGTGGTCAACCAGGCTATTACTGCTGGCCGCACGTAGTCCAACGTACGAACCACAGCCCAGCTGATACGGCACCGACTTTAAGTATCTGTCCAGCTCCCTCTTGAAGGCAGCCAGGAGTCTATTGGTAATTCCCCTTATGCTTAGTGGGAGGATAGGTCCACTTCCAAGAATCAAGAGGAGCCTCCCTTGACAGATTCAAGTATCTGCTAACTACCTTTTCGAGAATAACCTTATATTGTCTCCAAAGCCTACCACAGAAGACTAATATGCTGACTGATACAGAATAATACTGACTGACAATGCATCTGACTGCATTTGGACAAAATAAGATTAACCTCGACCAAGCCAATCACAAACCTGGGAGCCTATGCCCTGATCCTCGCACTACCCTTGCTCTCCATCCTAGCCTAACTCCCACCTCAATGCTTAGTCTCTTATTGTACTTGACTGCGCTTTTCCCTCATACAGACAGAAGAGGTTGAAGGAACTCAACCTGACGACCCTGGCAAAGAAGACATGATTACTACATACAAAATATTAACAGCGTTAGATAGGGCATACAAGGATTGACTGAATAAAATGACTAAGATCAAGGGGACATATATGGAAGCTGAGGACACAGATGAGGCATAGGGATGTAAGAAAACATTTCTTTGATCTTAGGGTGGCTGAAAAGTGGAATGACTTGGATGAGTCAACAGTGGAGGCAAGTTAAAATACAGCTTCAAAAGTAGATACAAAGCTCAGGAGACGAGAAATCAATGATATGAATCAAGTTGATCTAGATGACAGGGGTCAGAAGCCGAGTTCCAACCCCGCAAACACGATTCGGTGAGTACAACTTGAGTGCAGGAAATTTTAATGTTGGTGCCTGGCCATCCTTCACAAATTAAGCTGCTGCTCTGTATTTCTCGCTGCTAGACGTTACCCTTCCGTCTATGAAATTTGGTTGCTGGTGGTAACTGTACATAAGCTTCGAATAATTTATGTTAATGACACCAAACCCAACCCTAAATATTTAATTTTTGTAAGCTGACTATATCGTTCACAAATGTATTACAGAACAGTGTATTTTGACGACCAGATTCAATATCACACCACCTGATAATATTCAACACTTTTCCAAGAAAACTGCGAAGTGCTTTTTCCATATATCACCTTGAATGCTGAGCGACAGATATAAACCTGGTACCCCATACTCAATGCAGCTTGCATTATTATTTGCGGCAAACTGCTTACTCTAGCAGCCTCCAAGGCGAACTGCAATCCTGAATTGGTAGGCAGCCAGCCAGATTGGTTGGTCGGTTCACCTGTAACCAGCTTCAAGAAGACTGGCCAGTTTCACATGATTATCACGTTTCTCGAGCCACTCACCAGCCAGCCAACTGCACACACACTTTCCACCCCTTGGCTTGCTGCCCACACAACTATTATATCGATTACGTTTACCCACAATGTGTGCGTATATGTACACAATCATATATACTTCTATAAAAATGAACAGAAGAATGTAAGGGGACTCGAACCGTGGTCCTGACAGCAGGTCCGGCGCTGCACCACTGAGCTACAAGGCTTACATCAGGAAGGTTTCACAGACAACTTGTCGGTTCTACACTTCTGGGACATGTGCGCGTCAGAGGTCACCTGCTGTGACTAAACTGTTCCTGCCAGGACCACAGGTCGAGCCCCCGTCCATTCTTCTATTTATTCAGTGACAATCATACATTATGACTATCTTAAGTTCACAGACTATATGATTTTAATGGATATGATAACATATGTAGTATGAAAGCTTCTAGGGCTGTGGGAATGGACAGTTGGGTTACAGTTGGTAACCTCTGACACATGTCACAGCAGTGTTATCAAGTTTCTGGACATGTGTTTTTCTGGTGCAGCCACCATGTTGATGATGAATACTCTGACTTAAAAACGCCCAAATGCCGTTTGTATTTGTCGGAGGCAAGTACGCTGCCATAGCTCTCCGACTTTAGATGAAGTTTATATAAGGTGCTATGCTTACCTCACTCCTAAGTCCTTTCATTTACCAAGATTTGTAGACGGTTCCTATTGACTATTTCACAACTGACTCCGTGCTTTTGTGTACGTGCGAGTGTTTTCGTGCCCAAAGTAGCGCTCGCACCCCAACGTGATCCTCCGTCACTCCACACTGATGAGTTTTATTTGATTCTATTAGCCCAAGAACACCACACCACGAGTGTTGTGGATTTATAAAATAGGACACTCGTGCACACAACTGGAGTGTCCATGAGTAAGTTTGTGCCCACCTTCCTTTATCACGCCAGAAAGACGGATTATTGGAGTGACCAATACTGTAAAACGTCCACGCAGTTCCCCAGAGTATTTCTTGTTGTATAATTCCACGTTCTCCCAATCACCATTCCATAATAATAAGTCTGATGAACTTTTGGTTTACTCCGCTGTTTTTAAAAACCAAAGAATTTCTATCTATATGGTAGAGCTATAAGGAAAATAAACTACAAAACTGAATAATTTTATAGGTGTATTAAAGACAAAGTTTACTGCAAGCTTCAGAGTTCTAAGCGAGTCCCCCCCCCCTCCCCATACACTCAGAAAATACAAAAATGACTAATTCTTTGCACATTAAATAAAGTGACGTTCTACTGTATTATCACATACAGAAATACAAGTAAACCAGCAGATTTAGATGAAAAAAAAGGTTGCAATTAAAATTGAACCCGTCTTATTTCATCCATTAAGAGATAAGGGATGGATACAACGATAACGTGAAACGGTAAAAGAAATAAAAACTTAGAACTGTGTGAACTCTTCACAGTCTTTAACACTCAACAGCAAAAAACTTGATAGACGAAGGCTGTCACAAAGTATTCAAACAGGAAAACTTTATGAAAATTATGTCCTGTTTAAAGCTACATTTACTGAATATCACAATATTAGGACAATCAGGTCATGGACAGGGCTGCGGGGGGCGGGGGGGGGCCGCTGACCCCGGGAACACGCTCCAGGCATCATTCCAATCACTGTCGAGTTATCTGCCCCTCCAGCATATGCCTTGATGCCGCTAACGGGCTCTTGATCCAATGAATTTTACCCATGTTCAAACCTGATTGCCGCCCAGTCCACCAGGTGTTGTACGACTCATACGGATTTACTGCTTCCCCTGAACATAGTATCATCATTATTAAGAGGAAGCGGTAAATCCGTAAGGATCACACAGCACTGGAGAATGGGAAGCAATTACATTTGATCCAAGGAGTTGGAAGACAGGTCCAAATCTTAATGAGCTCTTCAGCGGCATCAAGGAGGGAGGATCAATCAAACAGTTATATGCTAAGGTAATGTGTCATGTCGTGTCTAATATATGACATGTCTGTCAAATTAAGAAACTTTTATTACTCTTTTCATGACATGTGAATTAACATGACTTTTTTCAATTTGTTCAATAACTAAGCACTTTAACCTCGTTACACTTTACTAATATGGATTAACACTACTTAACATGTCAAAATGGCTTTATTTAGTAAGCATTTAATACTAATGAAATTATTAATTTAGCAATATTCGGTTGCATAAGATGAAAAAAATTAATACAGGATTTACTTTTTAGACAAAACTATACAGCTCACAATTTCAGTTAAGTATTCTTCTTTAACTAACAAACTTACCGGTTTCAGCATATAAATTAATCGCTGATGAAGCTTTTAATTAAAGCTACCGGGATACTCTCCAGGTAGATAACTCCAGTGCAAAAATGTATGCCCAAGTTTACAATGGAATTTAAGGTCCATAATAACAATTTTGTACTAAGACAGAATTAACAGCCATGATCCAGTTTTTGAGTGAATCATCAAGCAGCAGTATAATACTAGCAGGTTACATCTGCTGGCACAGACGCTGTGCGACCCCTCCCCCTATCCCCCCACACATTGCCTTACTAATTCGACCTTAACAGGTCTTCAAACCATTACGGCCTAACACCATTACGCTGGTTAACACTAAATTATCAATGCTTTTAGGAAACACACGGAAAATTAATATAATTTTCTTAGGAACATTTGAAGACTGCCCCCCTTCCCTCTTCCCCCTCCCACCCCCGGGAAACGTTCACTGGTTACGCATTTTTTTTTAAACGATTGATAAACTTTCCGCCAAAACCAAACAACCTAACTTAAGCTTGATATATATAAAACAGATTTATTTTCCTAACGCATCTTCGCCTATCATCAGTTACTTTTCCTTGGGAGGCTACTAAATCTTCCGGTACCATTATCTTGGGAAGTGTAGGAAGTATTGTACTGGCGTAGTGCAGAAAATATCCAAGTGTGGATGTATAGGAAGTTTCGTAATAGTCTAGCAGTACTATAATAGTCTAGCAGTACTATAATAGTCTAGCAGTACTATAATAGTCTAGCAGTACTATAATAGTCTAGCAGTACTATAATAGTCTAGCAGTACTATAATAGTCTAGCAACAACTTTAAGGTATAGCGATATATGACTAAACAGACGCAACATTTTATAATGTTCACCTTGAATGAGGGGTCTCACCGTACAGCTGTAACCAGGTGTTACCAGTCAGGACATAGGGTTGGCAGGTGGTGATTAACTTAGCTCTAGTTTATTCCACCAAACCAGTCACTCACCCACCAGTTAGCACTGAACCAACTACAATCAACAGGTATCCCGTGTAGTGTAGTGAGGACGCTACAAAAGATGTTGACACAATCACCTCCCACGATACACTGAACCTCTTGCTACATAAAACCTGCCGACAGGGAAGAGGAGGGGAGGGAGAGAGGCGGGAAGGGAAGAGGTTGGGAAGGGAGGAGTGGGAAAGGGGAAGAGAAAAGGGAGAGAGAGTGGGGGAAGGGAAAAGAAGGATGGAGAGGAGTGGGGAGAGAAAGAAGAGGCGGGACGGAGAAGAGAGGTGAAGGGAAAGTGAAAAGGGAAGGGAACAATGAGAAGGACTGTGAGAAGGGAAGGATGGCGAGATGGGAAAGGTAAGGGAAGATGTGAAGGGGAAGAAAAGTAGAGAGAAGGGGACAGGGAAAGAAAATAATAGGAGGGGGAAGACCACGTGACCAGTACAGGGGTAGACTAGGATAGTGGGGATACACTAATAATGTATAGAAATGACGATAAACAAGTACGTATTATAACAAAGCGACACAACAATCGTGAAAGCCACGAGTCCTTCATAAAAAAACAAAAGTTGATTAGTTAACGACAAATTGCTATGAGTAATCCCAGAGTAACAAAAAACAATCCTTCAAGCGTTGCCGTGTGTGTGTGTGCAGGTACCACCGGAAATACAACTTTGTGTGTTAGTGTACGAGTGCCTCAGCCAGAGTACTCTTCGTGATGGTTTACATACACACTACTTTCTTTAGCTCAAGTACTTTCACACTTCTCAGTGCATCATCAGGAGCTGTGCAATGTTGCAAGGGAGCAACCAAAGCAGGGAGAGAAGTCTCAGAGTAGCGTAGGTGTCACCGGCCACGGTTACCCTTAGACTGGGTTAGTGGTCGGTGCCAACCCCACCCTACCATCGTCCCCCTAATACCCATATGGGGTAGGATGGTTTCTGAGATGTCAAGTATGAAATTATAAGATATAAAAAGCCAGCCCTAAGCTTTTTCTAATCGTTTATAACAGGTTATGTGGTTTGAGAAAATAAGTTTCTCGTTAGATACTGTATACATTATTATTCTGTGTGACCTTTTCAAATAATGAAGGAAAGGAATACAATGTGCTCTTTGTCAGTTTAAATGTCCTGCTCTGGGGTACTCGAATGTTCTACCGATGTACTCGGAAGTGGTTCTTCCTAAATACTGTCTACTATTTTCTCAGTGGCTCTTAGTATGCTATACATGGGGACTTCTATGCCTATCCGATAATATATTATCGGAAAGGCATTCTTTCCCTAGGCTTTCTCAACTTATTAATCTCACTCCAAAACTTGTTCTTATTTTCAACAAAATTTGTTGATAACATCTCACCTACTCTTTCATTTATTCTTTTTACATTACTTTACCTTTCTTTTAACCTCTCTCTTTCTCTCCATATACTCCTCCCTCCTTGCATCACTTCTACTTTGTAAAAAACTTCTCATATGCTAACTTTTCTCTCTTACTACTCTCTTCACATCATTCCACCAATCGCTCTTCCATCCCGCACCCACTTTCCTGTAACCACAAACTTCTGCTGAGCACTCTAACACTATATTCTTAAACTTACCCCAATACATCTACCCCATTGCCAGTATTCTCACTAGCCCATCTGTCCTTCAACAATTGTTTGTATCTTACCCTAACTACCGCCTCCTTCAGTTTATAAACCTTCACTTCTCTCTTACTTGCTGCTTCCATTTTCCTTGTATCCCATCTACCTTTTACTCTCACTGTAACTACAACTAAAAAGTGATATATCTATGGCCCCTCTATAAACATGTACATCCTGAAGTCTACCCATCAATCTTTTATCTATCAACATGTAGTCCAACAAACTACTGTCATTTCGCCCTACATCATATTTTGTATACTTATTTATCCACTTTTCTTAAAATATGTGTTACCTATAACTAAACCCCTTTCTATACAATGTTCAGTCAAATGCTCCCCATTATCATTTACACCTGGCACCCCAAACTTACCTACCACACCCTCTCTAAATGCTTCTCCCACTTTAGCATTTAGGTCCCCTACCACAATTACTCTTTCACGTGGCTCAAAAGTTCCTACACATTCGCTTAACATCTCCCAAAATCTCTCTCCTCTACACTCCTCTCTTCTCCAGGTGCATACACGCTTATTATGCCCCACTTTTCGCATCCAACCCTTATTTTAATCCACATAACTCTTGAATTTATACATTTATATTCCCTCTTCTCTCCATAACTGATCCTTTAACATTATTGCTACCCCTTCCTTAGTTCTAACTCTCTCAGATACTCCTGACTTAATCCCATTTATTTATCCCCACTGAAACTCCCCTACCCCTTTCAGCTTTCGCTTAGGGCTAGGACATCCAACTTCCTTTCATTCATAGCCTTTGCAATCACTTCTTATAATCTGCACTACATCCACACACATTCAAACATACCAATTTTATAAAGTTCTTCTTTTTCATCTTTTTAGTAATGTATACAGGGGAAGGGGTTACTAGCCCATTGCTCCCGGCATTTAGTCGCCTCCTACGACACGCATAGCTTGCGGAGGAAGAATTCTGTTCCACTTCCCCAGGGAGACAAGCAGAAATAAACAAGAACAATAACTAGGAAGAAAATAGAAAACCCAAAGGGTTAGTATATATATGCTTGTACATGTATGTGTAGTGTGACCTAAGTAGAAGTAGCAAGACATACCTGCAACCTTGCATGTTTATGAGAGAAAAAGACACCAGCAATCCTTCCATCATGCAAAACAATTACAGGCTTATGTTTCACACTCATTTGGTAGGACGGTAGTACCTCCCTGGGTGGTTGCTGTCTTCCAACCTACGATTCAGAAGGTAATTTTTTTTGTCAATATTAAGTTGTATGTAATCACTATATTGTAAATTAGCGCCCTAATATTAGTTTATATTATCCGAGACTCAGAGGCACAACACGAAGACCTCTCAAACTTCACTTACTGTGCCAATCAAGGCAAATTCGGCACCGCAATATTTAGTAACAAAGAAAATACAAAACAATAAACATTCCTTTCCACCTGCATCAATCCACGAGGTGCAAGAGAGTACTATACCGTAGCAGTGTTCCACTGTATTAACCACCACAATCACCCATCTACATGCCCCTTACTGCTCTATCTAGCATCACCCAATACTATACCTGGGCTCCATTCCTACCCATGGCATAATATCCTTCACAACTTGGACCTATCTTGTGACTAGTCATAGACCGGGCCGCGATTACCGAACAGAGGATGAATGACTCCCTCCACCACTCCTTGAGTTGAATGATCCCCACGGTTTTAGGGCATTACAAAATACAAGGTATAATTCGTAGTTCAGAAAAAGTACTTGTTTGTGGTAACATCTGCTCATTTTATGTTACTCCTAGTTATATTTTGTATTTTAATAATCTACTGCCTCAACTTTCTCTGCTTTCAGATTCAATAATGAATATAAAAATACGCACCAATAAATCACACTAGAGGAATCCAAGTAAAGCAAATGTAAGCATCACACTGTGGGTTAGTTCAGTGACAGAGGAAGAGGCAGTGAATGATGGGTTAGTGCTCTGAGTGGGAGGAAGAGGTAGTGCACTTTGGGTTAGTTCAGTGTGGCAGAGTACACAAGCACCTCACACACAAGCATTACCGTCATATAGCGGACGTGTTTGGCCTCCCTACCACTGACCAACCCTCACTGCAATCCCCAGCACTACCACCACCACAACCACTCACCCCTTCGCAACCTTCACCACCATTCACTCCTCCCCACGTCTCTTCAAAGCGGTCTGCTCTGCGGAAGCAGTAGCACGAAGCAACAGCAGGTACCTCGTCACCTAGAACAGATCCACTGTCGTAAACACCTGTAACTTTCTAAAAAAAAAAAAACTAAACTACCCCATACTCCCTTAACGGCATAATGTATATGCGATATCTCTCTTTCCGCCTTTACCAGTGATAACCATATCTACACTCATGGATAGCAGGTGGGGGTAGACAGCATCCACCCAGAGTAGTAGTATCCTTCTGTCGAATAAGTGTAAACAGAACCCTGTTCAAGTTTTTCATTCTGGGTTAACTGCTAGGCTTTCCTATCATGAACATGTAATAATTATATTAGTCTCAAAAAACGTTTACCTTCATTAGTGCACATTTAGGCTTGCTAATAGCACTTAGTTCTTTAATACAGTATTTCAATATTTCCCTTCTAAATTAGTAGGAGCGTAGGGACGATGATCCCGGACCCTTGAGCAGTTATAACAGATGAATGTAGCAATGTCTTGTTATGGTACACATCACCTCTGATGTCACACTTATCTTTTCTCGTTTGTAATCCTTGTCCTACTTTTATAAACTAAACACTCTTATCACTACATATTATCCATAATCATCGTGATTCCCAGCTTGGCTCCAAATATTTTATAATTTTTATTAATAGTTTAAATATTTATTAAAGGTAATATTTTGAAGCCCTATTTCAGTTTTATACATTATTATTATCACAACTAAGCGCTAAACTCATAAGGGTCATACAGCACTGTTCAACTTTATAAAGCCCTGTTCGAAGTTTTATGCATCAGGTCCTTTTAAACAGGTATTTATCAAGGCATGTATTTCGCACAAATAACTAAATACAATAATATACTATATGGAAGTAAATTATCTAACATTTATTTTACTGATACGTTCACTTGGATCAACAAAAGAAACGAAAGTTGCTTAACTAGATTTCATAGTCCATTCAAGGTCGTTTCCCGCTAACTCTGGTCTGCACGACCATTGATTCCCCCCCCCCCACCCTCCTAAACCCCGCTACCCTGCAACACTTGTCATGCACTAGAGCATGTCACAATCCCTCCCTTACTCCACATCATTACAAAAACTGCATCTTACCAGTCCCCGTAATACACGCGTCCTCCAAATACAATAGTTTTCTGGCGTGTTTACGCTTTTAAAAATTTATGACAAAAATAACTTTATCCTATATAAGTAAAGTTACTCGAACCTTAATCAACCTAAATTTACGCATGTTTAACTGACAATGAGCAAATTATATAAACGGAAGGATAAG